GTGGCAAAGGGTAGTGGCCCGGGGGGGTAATGTGTGGTGGTTCTGTGTTGCCTAGGGGTGGTGGTCGGTAGTGGCAGAGGGTAGTGGCTCCGGGGGGGGGGAGGTAATGTGCAGAGGTTCTGTAGTGGCAGAGGGTGACCCCCGCAGCCACAATATATCTCAATAGACCCCTCCCTTAACAGTCGATCCCTCCAAGCAATAATTGATCCATCAACAGCAATAGTCCCCTCCCCCCAAGAAGAGATCCCCCAGTAACAATAGATGCCCTGCCTAAATGTGACCTGGCATCAGCCTCTTGCAGTCCCAATACAGCAGAGCTGGAATGTGAGTAGAAGAAGTAGAACAAGTAGCCAATCAGGTTATGAGACGAATGATACGCATGGAATAATAATGTGCAATAAAAAAAGCCAAAAAACAAAACAAAAAATAAATAAACTTGAAATACTCATATGCAATAAAAAAGACCAAAAAAATTTAAATAAACATGAAATACTAATATACAATAGAAAAGATAAAATTAAAAAAAAAATATTCATATGCAATAAAACAGACAAAAACAAAAATGAATAAAAATAGGCATGAAATACTAATATGCAATAAAAAAGACAAAAAAAAAATATAATAAACTTGATTTACTCATATGCAATAAAAGAATATGAAAAAAAATCAAAAAGGCATGAAATACTGATATGCAATAAGAAAGACTAAAAAATGAAATAAACATGAAATACTCAAAGGCAATAAAGAATATTTATTATTATTATTATACAGGATTTATATATTATTATTATTATTATACAGGATTTATATATTATTATTATACAGGATTTATATATTATTATTATTATTATACAGGATTTATATATTATTATTATACAGGATTTATATATTATTATTATACAGGATTTATGGCGCCAACAGTTTGCTCAGCACTTTACAATATAAAGGGAGACAATACAGCAACAATACAGTTCAATACAAGAGGGAAAGGAGGACCTGATCCTGGGAGCTTACAATCTAGGAATATAAAAAGAAATCAAATAGGCATGAAATATTGATATGCAATAAGAAAGACTAAAAACATTAAATAAACATGAAATACTCATACGCAAGAAAAAAAAAAAGATTAAAAAAATAAAATAATCATGAAACACTCATATGCAATAAAAAAGACTAAAAAATTAAATAAACAAACTGAAATACTCATAGGAAATAAAGAATATGAAAAGAAATCAAATAGGCATGAATTACTGATATGCAATGAGAAAGACTAAAAAAAATCATATAATTATGAAATGTTCATATGCAATAAGAAAGAAAAAAAATTAAATAAATATGAAATACTCATACACAAGAAAAAAAAACAAAAAACATTAAATAAGCACAAAATACTAATATGCAATAAAAAAAAAACAAAAAAAGAACATGAAATACTCATATAAAATAAAAAAAGACAAATAAAAAATAAGGATGAAATACTCATATGCAATAAAAAAAACCTGAAATACTCATATGAAAAAAATAAAGATGAAAAACCAAGCATAATATACTCATATGCAATAAAAAAGACTAAAAACTTAAATAAACATGAAATACTCATAGGCAATAAAGAATATGAAAAGAAATCAAATAGGCATGAAATACTGATATGCAATGAGAAAGACTAAAAAAAATCAAATAATCATGAAATGTTCATATGCAAAAAGAAAGAAAAAAAATTAAATAAACATGAAATGTTCATATGCAATAAGAAAGAAACAATTTAAATAAACATGAAATACTCAAACACAAGAAAAAAAAAAGATAAAAAAAAAAATTAAATAATTATGAAACACTCATATGCAATAATAAGGACTATAAAATAAATAAACATGAAATACTCATATGCAAGAAAAAAAAAACAAAAACATTAAATAAGCACAAAATACTAATATGCAATAAAAAAAGCCAAAAGAACATGAAATACTCATATAAAATAAAAAAAGACAAAGAAAAAATAGGGATGAAATACTCATATGCAATAAAAAAAAACCTGAAATACTCATATGAAAAAAATAAAGATGAAAAAACAAGCATAATATACTCATATGCAATAAAAAAAAGAAAAGAAAAAATCAAAAAAGCATGAAATACTCATACAGTATGCAATAAAAAAGATTAAAAAATAAATAAATATAATACAATAAATTATATACTCAATAAAAAAAATACAGTTGAATTTGATATAATAGGTAAGGTCAGAAGATATACACAAAACAGTAAAGATTCCCCCAAAGAAACCTTCTAGAACCTCACGGAACTCGATTTAAAGGCGTGAAAATTCAGTTACCGCCTGGCTGTTCCCTAATCCCACTTTATCTCAGAAACAAATTCTGTGTGGATAGAAATATTAGATTTGTATTACAAATCCCGCGGTGCTTTGGCAGGATTCTATAGACGGAGATCTCCGGCATGAAATGAATGGAGAGCCGAACACATTACACGGCACGGTGTCACTGGCCTTTAGGTTCGGAGGAGACTGATAGGACTCGATTAACGTCGAGTGTTCTGTAATCTTCCTGTTCACACAGAGAAATCGATTCCGCACTGTATCAAATCTTTATTACTTCACACTGCAGCAAGAAGCAGGTGAGACGCACAAGAAGAATTTTACAGACAAATGTATCAATACAGAAAATAATTAAAAACATGTATCATTTTACAGCGAGAAGAAGAGAAGTGTGGGGGGTATGACAGTGGGCAGTATGTACAGGAGAGGAGTGTGGAGGGTATGACAGTGGGCAGTATGTACAGGAGAGGAGTGTGGAGGGTATGACAGCGGTCAGTATGTACAGGAGAGGAGTGTGGAGGGTATGACGGTGGGCAGTATGTACAGGAGAGGAGTGTGGAGGGGATGACAGTGGGCAGTATGTACAGGAGAGGAGTGTGGAGGGTATGACAGCGGTCAGTATGTACAGGAGAGGAGTGTGGGGGGTATGACAGTGAGCAGTATGTACAAGAGAGGAGTGTGGAGGGTATGACAGTGATCGGTATGTACAGGAGAGGAGTGTGGAGGGTATGACAGTGGGCAGTATGTACAGGAGAGGAGTGTGGAGGGTATGACAGTGATCGGTATGTACAGGAGAGGAGTGTGGGAGGGTATGACAGTGGGCAGTATGTACAGGAGAGGAGTGTGGAGGGTATGACAGTGGGCAGTGTGTACAGGAGAGGAGTGTGGAGGGTATGACAGTGGGCAGTATGTACAGGAGAGGAGTGTGGAGGGTATGACAGTGGGCAGTATATACAGGAGAGGAGCGCGGAGGGTTTGACAGTGGGCAATATGTACAGGAGAGGAGTGTGGAGGGTATGACAGTGGGCGATATGTACAGGAGAGGAGTGTGGAGGGTATGACAGTGGGCGGTATGTACAGGAGAGGAGTGCGGAGGATATGACAGTGGGCGGTATGTACAGGAGAGGAGTGTGGAGGGGATGACAGTGGGCAGTATGTACACGAGAGGAGTGTGGAGGGTATGACAGTGGGCAGAATGTACAGAAGAGGAGTGTGGAGGGTATGACAGCGGGCAGTATGTACAGGAGAGGAGTGGGGGGGGTATGACAGTGGGCGGTATGTACAGGAGAGGAGTGCGGAGGGATGACAGTGGGCAGTATGTACAGGAGAGGAGTGTGGAGGGTATGACAGTGATCGGTATGTATAGGAGAGGAGTGTGGAGGGTATGACAGTGGGCAGTATGTACAGGAGAGGAGTGTGGAGGGGGATGACAGTGGGCAGTATGTACAGGAGAGGAGTGTGGAGGGTATGACAGTGGGCGGTATGTACAGGAGAGGAGTGTGGAGGGTATGACAGTGGGCAGTATATACAGGAGAGGAGCGCGGAGGGTTTGACAGTGGGCAATATGTACAGGAGAGGAGTGTGGAGGGTATGACAGTGGGCGATATGTACAGGAGAGGAGTGTGGAGGGTATGACAGTGGGCGGTATGTACAGGAGAGGAGTGCGGAGGATATGACAGTGGGCGGTATGTACAGGAGAGGAGTGTGGAGGGGATGACAGTGGGCAGTATATACACGAGAGGAGTGTGGAGGGTATGACAGTGGGCAGAATGTACAGAAGAGGAGTGTGGAGGGTATGACAGCGGGCAGTATGTACAGGAGAGGAGTGGGGGGGGGGGTATGACAGTGGCCAGTATGTACAGGAGAGGAGTGCGGAGGGATGACAGTGGGCAGTATGTACAGGAGAGGAGTGTGGAGGGTATGACAGTGATCGGTATGTACAGGAGAGGAGTGTGGAGGGTATGACAGTGGGCAGTATGTACAGGAGAGGAGTGTGGAGGGGATGACAGTGGGCAGTATGTACAGGAGAGGAGTGTGGAGGGTATGACAGTGGGCGGTATGTACAGGAGAGGAGTGTGGAGGGTATGACAGTGGGCAGTATGTACAGGAGAGGAGCGCGGAGGGTTTGACAGTGGGCAGTATGTACAGGAGAGGAGTGTGGAGGGTATAACAGTGGGCAATATGTACAGCAGAGGATTGTGGAGGGGGTGACAGTGGGCAGTATGTACAGGAGAGGAGTGTGGACGGTATGACAGTGGGCAATATGTACAGTAGAGGAGTGTGAAGGGGATGACAGTGGGCAGTATGTACAGGAGAGGAGTGTGGCGGGTATGATGGTGAGCAGTATGTACAGGAGAGTAGTGGGGGGGTATGACAGTGGGCAGTCTGTACAGGAGAGGAGTGTGGGGGGTATGACAGTGGGCAGTATGTACAGGAGAGGAGTGTGGAGGGTATGACAGTGGGCAGTATGTACAGGAGAGGAGAGTGGAGGGGATGACAGTGGGCAGTATGTAAAGGAGAGGAGTGTGGAGGGTATGACAGTGGGCAGTATGTACAGGAGAGGAGTGTGGAGGGTATGACAGTGGGCAGTATGTACAGGAGAGGAGTGTGGAGGGTATGACAATGGGCAGTATGTACAGGAGAGGAGTGTGGAGGGGATGACAGAGGACAGTATGTACAAGAGAGGAGTGTGGAGGGAATGACAGAGGACAATATGTACAGGAGAGTAGTGTGGGGGGTATGACAGTGGGCAGTCTGTACAGGAGAGGAGTGTGGGGGGTATGACAGAGGACAATATGTACAGGAGAGTAGTGTGGGGGGTATGACAGTGGGCAGTCTGTACAGGAGAGGAGTGCGAAGGGTATGACAGTGGGCAGTATGTACAGGAGAGGAGTGTGGAGGGTATGACAGTGATCAGTATGTACAGGAGAGGAGTGTGGAGGGAATGACAGTGTGCAGTATGTACAGGAGAGGAGGAGAGTGGAGGGTATGACAGAGGACAATATGTACAGGAGAGTAGTGTGGGGGGTATGACAGTGGGCAGTCTGCACAGGAGAGGAGTGCGAAGGGTATGACAGTGGGCAGTATGTACAGGAGAAGAGTGTGGAGGGTATGACAGTGGGCAGTATGTACAGGAGGAGAGGAGTGTGGAGGGTATGACAGTGGGCAGTATGTACAGGAGAGGGGTGTGGGGGGGGTATGACAGTGGACAGTATGTACAGGAGAGGAGTGTGGAGGGTATGACAGTGAGCAGTATGTACAGGAGAGGAGTGTGGAGGGTATGACAGTGAGCAGTATGAGGGGCTCCGATGTGATTGGGGAACCCTGAGGTTGGCTTTGATTACTAGGAAAGACTCTAATGCACGGGGGGGCTCTCATGTGAAGGAGGGACTCAAGGGCAAACTCTGATGTGAAAGGCAGCTTTGACTTTGAGGGGGATTCTGATGTGGAAGGGGAACTTTAATGTGAAGGTGGGCTTCTGATATGAAGGTAAGGATCTGATGTGAAGGTGGGGATCTGATGTGAAGGTGGGGATCTGGGGTGAAGGTGGGGATCTGATGTGAAGGTGGGGATCTGAGGTGAAGGTGGGGATCTGATGTGAAGGCGGGGATCTGAGGTGAAGGCGGAGATCTGACATGAAGGTGGGGATCTGACGTGGAGGCGGGGATCTGACGTGGAGGCGGGGATCTGACGTAAAGGCGGGGATCTGACGTGAAGGCGGGGATCTGACGTGGAGGCGGGGATCTGACGTGAAGGCGGGGATCTGACGTGGAGGTGGGGATCTCAGGTGAAGATGGGGATCTGATGTGGAGGCGGGGATCTGACGTGGAGGCGGGGATCTGACGTGATGGTAGGAATTTGACGTGATGGTAGGGATTTGACATGAAGGCGGGCATCTGATGTGAAGGCGGGGATCTGACGTGGAGGCGGGGATCTGACGTGGAGGTGGGGATCTGACGTGAAGGTGGGGATCTGACGTGGAGGCGGGGATCTGACGTGAAGGTGGGGATCTGATGTGGAGGTGGGGATCTGACGTGGAGGCGGGGATCTGACGTGGAGGCAGGGATCTGACGTGGAGGTGGGGATCTGACGTGAAGGTGGGGATCTGACGTGGAGGCGGGGATCTGACGTGAAGGTGGGGATCTGACGTGGAGGCGGGGATCTGACGTGAAGGTGGGGATCTGACGTGAAGGTGGGGATCTGACGTGAAGGCGTGGATTGGACGTGAAAGTGGGGATCTGACGTGAAGGTGGGGATCTGACGTGGAGGTGGGGATCTGACATGGAGGTGGGGATCTGACATGAAGGCGGGATCTGACATGGAGGTGGGGATCTGACGTGAAGGCGGGGATCTGACGTGGAGGCGGGGATCTGACGTAAAGGCGGGGATCTGACGTGAAGGGGGGGGATCTGACGTGGAGGCGGGGATCTGACGTGAAGGCGGGGATCTGACGTGGAGGCGGGGATCTGACGTGAAGGCGGGGATCTGATGTGAAGGCGGGGATCTCAGGAGAAGACGGGGATCTGACGTGGAGGCGGGGATCTGACGTGGAGACGGGGATCTGACGTGATGGTAGGGATTTGACGTGATGGTAGGGATTTGACATGAAGGCGGGCATCTGATGTGAAGGCGGGGATCTGACGTGGAGGCGGGGATCTGACGTGGAGGTGGGGATCTGACGTGAAGGTGGGGATCTGACGTGGAGGCGGGGATCTGACGTGAAGGTGGGGATCTGATGTGGAGGTGGGGATCTGACGTGAAGGCGGGGATCTGACGTGGAGGCGGGGATCTGACGTGAAGGCGGGGATCTGACGTGGAGGTGGGGATCTGACGTGAAGGCGGGGATCTGATGTGAAGGCGAGGATCTCAGGTGAAGACGGGGATCTGACGTGGAGGCGGGGATCTGACGTGATGGTAGGGATTTGACGTGATGGTAGGGATTTGACATGAAGGCGGGCATCTGATGTGAAGGCGGGGATCTGACGTGGAGGCGGGGATCTGACGTGGAGGTGGGGATCTGACGTGAAGGCGTGGATTGGACGTGAAAGTGGGGATCTGACGTGAAGGTGGGGATCTGACGTGGAGGTGGGGATCTGACATGGAGGTGGGGATCTGACATGAAGGCGGGATCTGACATGGAGGTGGGGATCTGACGTGAAGGCGGGGATCTGACGTGGAGGCGGGGATCTGACGTAAAGGCGGGGATCTGACGTGAAGGCGGGGATCTGACGTGGAGGCGGGGATCTGACGTGAAGGCGGGGATCTGACGTGGAGGCGGGGATCTGACGTGAAGGCGGGGATCTGATGTGAAGGCGGGATCTCAGGAGAAGACGGGGATCTGACGTGGAGGCGGGGATCTGACGTGGAGACGGGGATCTGACATGATGGTAGGGATTTGACGTGATGGTAGGGATTTGACATGAAGGCGGGCATCTGATGTGAAGGCGGGGATCTGACGTGGAGGCGGGGATCTGACGTGGAGGGTGGGGATCTGACGTGAAGGTGGGGATCTGATGTGGAGGTGGGGATCTGACGTGAAGGCGGGGATCTGACGTGGAGGCGGGGATCTGACGTGAAGGCGGGGATCTGACGTGGAGGTGGGGATCTGACGTGAAGGCGGGGATCTGATGTGAAGGCGAGGATCTCAGGTGAAGACGGGGATCTGACGTGGAGGCGGGGATCTGACGTGATGGTAGGGATTTGACGTGATGGTAGGGATTTGACATGAAGGCGGGCATCTGATGTGAAGGCGGGGATCTGACGTGGAGGCGGGGATCTGACGTGGAGGTGGGGATCTGACGTGAAGGTGGGGATCTGACGTGAAGGCGTGGATCGGACGTGAAAGTGGGGATCTGACGTGAAGATGGGGATCTGACGTGGAGGTGGGGATCTGACATGGAGGTGGGGATCTGACATGAAGGCGGGATCTGACGTGGAGGTGGGGATCTGACGTGGAGGCGGGGATCTGACGTGGAGGCGGGGATCTGACGTGGAGGCGGGGATCTGACGTGAAGGTGGGGATCTGATGTGAAGGCGGGGATCTCAGGTGAAGACGGGGATCTGACGTGGAGGCGGGGATCTGACGTGAAGGTGGGGATCTGACGTGGAGGTGGGGATCTGATGTGATGGTAGGGATTTGACGTGATGGTAGGGATTTGACATGAAGGCGGGCATCTGATGTGAAGGCAGGGATCTGACGTGGAGGCGGGGATCTGACGTGGAGGCGGGGATCTGATGTGGAGGTGGGGATCTGACGTGGAGGCGGGGATCTGACGTGAAGGTGGGGATCTGATGTGAAGGTGGGGATCTGACGTGGAGGTGGGGATCTGACATGAAGGCGTGGATCGGACGTGAAAGTGGGGATCTGATGTGAAGGTGGGGATCTGACGTGGAGGTGGGTATCTGACATAGAGGTGGGGATCTGACATGAAGGTGGGATCTGACGTGGAGGTGGGGATCTGACGTGAAGGCGGGGATGTGACATTGAGGCGGGGATCTGACGTGAAGGTGGGGATGTGACATGGAGGCGGGAATCTGACGTGGAGGTGGGGATCTGACATGAAGGTGGGGATCTGATGTGAAGGCGGGGATCTCAGGTGAAGGCGGGGATCTCAGGTGAAGGTGGGGATCTCAGGTGAAGGTGGGGATCTCAGGTGAAGGCGGTGATCTGACTTGATGGTAGGGATCTGACGTGAAGGTGGGGATTTGATGTGAAGGTGGGGATCTGACGTGGAGGTGGGGATCTGATGTGAAGGTGGGGATCTGATGTGAAGGTGGGGATCTCATTAAGACTCCCCATCTACCACTGCAGCCATTAGATCTTCCCGAAGCACACAAACGGTGGACGTCTCCTCCATCCTCCCTGTGATGCTCACCACCGCCTGTAAGTTCCTTCATTGTCAGGAATATATTCGGGTCGTATTTCAATGCACTTAATATGATTTGTAGCCAGTTGTTTGTAATGTGAGAGACATGTCTGCAAGCATATTGTAACTTCAGTTTATGTGATTGTATTGCAGTTTTATAGATCTCTTCACAGAAGTAAATTCAGTTTTGGAATGAAACACAACTCTGCTTCTGTCAGTTCTGTTAGCTAGCCGTCTGCTCACCGTTAGTCACCCATCCAGTCTGCACATGGATGGGGGTAATAACGACAGGAGGACAATAATAATGCCAAAATATAATATTCTACTATAGCTAAAAACTGAGCCGGTCACACCTGACTATCGGACAGGCTAATCCGCTGGCACAAAGGTAGTGTTACTGTAGATAAAACATTTTATTCTATCATTTGCGCTTTTTAAAATGACACTTAAATAAAATTTCTGATATAAAGCATTGTTTTAAAATAAATAAAGTTTATTTAAATTTTTTTCTGAATTTTGTAATGTGGCATAAATTACATTTCTGATATAAAACATTGTTTGAAATGAATAAAGTTTATTTAAAAAAAAATTTCTGAATTTTGTAATGTGGCATACATGAAATTTCTGATATAAAGCATTGTTTGAAATGAATAAAGTTTATTTAAATTTTTTTCTGAATTTTGTAATGCTGCATAAATTAAATTTCTGATATAAAGCTTTGTTTAAAATGAATAAAGTTTATTTAATATATTTCTGAATTTTGTAATGTGGCATAAATGAAATTTCTGATATAAAGCATTGTTTAAAAAATGAATAAAGTTAATTTACATTTTGTTTTGTGAATTTTGTAATGCGGCATAAATGAAATTTCTGATATAAAGCATTGTTTGAAATGAATAAAGTTTATTTAATATATTTCTGAATTTTGTAATGTGGCATACATGAAATTTCTGATATAAAGCATTGTTTGAAATGAATAAAAGTTTATTTAAATTTTGTTTTGTGAATTTTGTAATGCGGCATAAATGAAATTTCTGATATAAAGCATTGTTTGAAATGAATAAAGTTTCTTTAAATTTTTTCTGAATTTTGTAATGAAGCATAAATTAAATTCCTGATATAAAGCTTTGTTTAAAATGAATAAAGTTTATTTAATATATTTCTGAATTTTGTAATGTGGCATAAATTACATTTCTGATATAAAGCATTGTTTAAAATGAATAAAATTAATTTAAATTTTTTTTTTCTGAATTTTGTAATGTGGCATACATGAAATTTCTGATATAAAGCATTGTTTGAAATGAATAAAGTTTATTTAAATTTTTTTCTGAATTTTGTAATGCGGCATAAATTAAATTTCTGATATAAAGCATTGTTTAAAATGAATAAAGTTTATTTAATTTTTTTTCTGAATTTTGTAATGCGGCATAAATAACGTTTCTGATATAAAGCTTTGTTTAAAATGAATAAAGTTTATTTACATTTTTTTCTGAATTTTGTAATGTGGCATAAATAACGTTTCTGATATAAAGCATTGTTTAAAATGAATAAAGTATATTTACAATTTTTTCTGTGAATTTTGTAATGCAGCATAGATTAAATTCCTGATATAAAGCATTGTTGGAAATGAATAAAGTTTATTTAAATTTTTTTCTGAATTTTGTAAAGCGGCATAAATTAAATTTCTGATATAAAGCTTTGTTTAAAAAGAATAAAGTTTATTTAAATTTTTTTCAGAATTTTGTAATGTGGCATAAATTAAATTTCTGATATAAAGCTTTGTTTAAAATGAATAAAGTTCAAACAAAAAAAATATTATATATATATATATATATATATATATATATATAAATAATTTTTTTTGTTTTTTTAAATAATAACCTTTAAAACTGAAAATATTTACATTTCCGCTATGGGCCTGTTTGTTTTGGCGATAACTTTATCATTACTGAGGATAACATACTGTATATTTTTCTTTTAAGGTCAAAGAAGGTTTTCTTTTGGTAATATTGTCTTGCAAAAATTATTTAATTTCCTATGCATTCTATTGAAAGAAAAGAAAAGAAAATAATGTTCCTTTTTTTTCTGCTTTGACCACTGTTATTTAAAAAAAAAAAAAAAAAGTAGTGTTACTGTAGATAAAAATATACATTTTATTCTATCATTTGTCCTGTTTACAATGACACTAAAACTACATTTTTTATATAAAGCATCGCAAAGATATT